ATTGATCGTAGGCCCTTATTATATAGAAGAAGAAAATGTTGACTGTCATAGTATGATACTGGCCCATGTTGACTGTCACACTATGATACTGGCCCATGTTGACTGTCATACTATGATACTGGCCCATGTTGACTGTCATACTATGATACTAGCCCATGTTGACTGTCATACTATAGATACTGGCCCATTTTGACTGTCACACTATGATACTGGCCCATGCTGACTGTTATACTATGATACCATTGATACTACCCATGTTGACTGTCATACTATGATAATGGCCCATGTTGACTACCATACTAATACTATTGATACTGGCCCATATTGACTACCATACTACTGATACTGGCCCATGTTGACTGTCATACTATGATACTGGCCCATGCTGACTACCATACTACAGATACTGGCCCATGTTGACTGTCATACTATTGATGCTGGTCCATGTTGACTGTCATACTATGATACTGGCCCATGTTGCCTATCATACTATTGATACTGGCCTATTATGCCAATGAAATGCTGCTGCGACCGGGACGAAGGCTGAGAGTGGTGCCCCCCCCCCCCTTTCCCACCCCACATTCCCAAATTACGTTCAGAAATTATATATAGATTTCTTTAAACTACTTAATTAATAAATGATTTTATTTTAAACTCCGTGCTAAATATACCCCGAAACCCTGACGTAATAAAAAAATGGTAGAGCGTGTCAAATCATGCTTCACTTTAATGAGCGTTGCGCTGGTCTTGGTCGGCGTGGTCTCCTCTAAACTCGCTTTGTTTTTTTAATTCGCATCATTCTTGGAGTTTAGAATATGTGAATAAAAAAATATTTATTCAATGTAACAGTTCAGAGTGAACAAACACTATGCGCCTCGTATTTCAATCCATTAATTACATTGATTTTCTTTCCTTTGAACCGACACAGCGTCCCCCCTCACATACACACACACCCATATATATATATATATATATATATATATATATATATATATATATATATATATATATATATATATATATATATATATATATACCTA